AACCTGTTGATGCGGATCCGCGTCCTCCTTAGAATCGGAAGCACCAGAAAAGTCTTCCTTCTCTTCTACGCCGGTCTGAGATGCTTTGTTGTTCTTCTTCTCCTTTCGTCTACGGCGGCGACGGTTCATAGGATTTCTTCTCGAAGAAGAAGAAGTTGCGAAAGGGTTTTTTTTTTGGTTCAATATTACACAAATGTTTCGGGTCATCCATCCGGGTCGCGCGGATCCGACTGTCATCCGCGTGTGTGCAGTCGGATCTAGTTCCAAAAATGTCTACAATTCAACAGATAATTACTAAAATTGCCACTGAAAAATTCCAAAATTACTCATTTCAATTGAATTTTATTAGTTTAAAATCAATGGCAATTTTAGTAATATTAGATAGGATTTTGGACATTTACTCTAAATGATTTTTGTTTTAATAGTATAGAGATATAGTATTTCGGCTGACTTTTATTGTTTATTTGGTTTAGGGAACCTCTTTGCTAGTTACATGCCTCATGCGTTCTAAGCAAGTAAAAGAGAAAAGAAAAGATAACTCCACAAATATAAGTATAATGATTCTTTTGTCTACCTAATTTATTGGTGTTTACAAATAAAATAATCATTATTTCGGAAAATCAATGTATCTTTGCATTTTTTCCTCTTTTCATCAATGGGAAATTAGCACCAATAAAACAGAAAAACAAATTAAATCTAAAAACTAACCAAAATCCATCTTTTTCTCTCTCTATATCTCTCTACCCAATTTATTATTTTTTAAATTATAATTTTTTTTTGGTTACCCCACAAATTCACCCTTTCATCAATTACTTAGAATTTAGTTTAGATAAGTCACCATCGTTCACATGAAGAAACGAAAACTATGAAATCATTATTACGCGAAAGGGACACAAATGATGATCATAATGGTTTAAGAAATAAGACAATAGTTACATTTTGAAATGATTTTTTTATACTTAACCAGGCTATTAAAAATAAACTTTTTATGGGAAACAAACCCGTGTGGTACAAGTCGTCTTGTTGATCAATTATTTGTTTGATAATCAATTATTTGTTTGATAACAAAGGTTTTTTTTTTTTGAGAAATTAGCATGGCTAACTATAAAAAAAATCATATCTAATAATCTAAGAAAAAGTACCTATGTGGACAATTTCTAATCATTAAAATTAGAGTTTTTAGTTAGAATATTAGATAATTTTTTTTTTAGTTATATCACCAATTGACCATTTTTTTACAAAAAATAAAGTTTGATAACAATGTTGATCAATAATTGAAGGGTTTGTTCGAAACAAAACAAAAATACTAATCAAGAATAATACAAAATGAAAGGGTGACAGCTCATCGTGTTAAACTTTTGTGTGTTGGTCTTCATCAGTAATCACATGTTTCTTTTGTTCAAAGTTTTTTTTTTTTGAACAATTCTTTCATCAGTAATCACATATAAATAGCTGTATTTACTGCATTTACACCACACACATGCCTCGGATCGAGTAACGGATCGCGTAAGCCTTTGGATTAATATTTTATTATCTTTTGTAGTCTTCATTTGAAAGCTTGCACCAACTATTAAACGAAGTGGTAAAATTCGTCATGCACTAGTCGAGAAAACACAAGATCACAGTTTCTAGGTCAGAAAGCATATACGACGATCCAAAAATGTGAGCTGCTTAGATTCATATACTTTATAGCTCAAACAATATACAGACTCAATTTATTGGTAAACCGGCCCTGAAAAATGTTCCAA